AGAGGCAGAGGCAGAGGCAGAGGCAGAGGCAGAGGCAGAGGCAGAGGGCAGAGGCAGAGGCAGAGGCAGAGACCAGAGGCAGAGGCCAGAGGGCAGAGGCACAGGCAGCCGATCTCTGAGTCTGAGGCCAGCCTGGTCCACAAAAAGAATTCCAAGACAATCAGGGCCACACAGTGAGACCATGTCTCAAAAAATAATAACTAAAGATCGTGTATATTTATCTCAGTGTGAGTATATCTACATGCATTCAGGTCTTACATTTCCAAGGTGACAGATCTCCTGGAACTGAAGTTACAGGCAACTGTGAGTGTTGTGCCCAAAGTCTGGACCCCCAAAGACCACCAAGAGACCAAATCCATTGCAAAAGCAAAGAGTCTTTTTATTGCGAGTTCAAACTCAAGTCTTTTGTCCGTCCGATGCAGCAGTGCAGTAGAAGAGACCTCAAAGAGCAGTGGGGTAGGGTGTTTATTGGGGGTAGAGAAAGGGGGCCTAGGAGTCTGAGAATTGCATAGTAACAGACTCAGGATTGGTGCACCTCTGAGCTAGGCTATCTGTCTTAAGTTGATTGGTTAGCTGCAGTTGTGGGGAAGTTGCTACATCTTACGGCGGTTGCTGTGGTTACTGCATTCTATCCTTACTAGTAGAGTGGGTCAGGAGCCTGCTAGCCTAACTCCTGATTGGTTCTTTACCATATTGGGACATCTTAGGGTTTTTCTATTAACTAGGGCAAGGTCAGGGACTCATCCTGCCATCCTGCTGAGTTCTTTCTGCAGCCTGTCATGGCTGACTCATTGTCTAAACAAGGACTTGGGTCCTTCATTCCCCTCTCTAGAAGTTACTTAAGAGGACCCAATCATGTGTTCCCTCTGAGGGTCTCCAAAGTGATATATTGAGATCTTAACACCATTAGCTGTACTGTGTTGATCCTCTCCTTGACAAAGGAAACTAACTTGTTAAGGAGACAGGGGTCAAAGGTGAGTAAGAGCAACAGGAGCCCCATGGGACTAATCAAGGTGGAAATCAGAGTAGTCAACACTGGGGATGAGTTGAGCAGTGAATTGAACCAGCCCCGGGCTTGTCCTCACTCTCTTTTGCATTTTGCCAACCCCTCTCTGGCTTTGGCCAGTGATCCTTTTACCACCCCTGAGTGGTCAACATAAAAATGGCATTCCTCTCCAAGAGCTGTACAGAGCCTACCTTGCTGTAGGAATATGAGGTCTAATCCTTGTTTGTTCTGTAGAACCACTCCAGCAAGGGAGGACAGGGAAGCTTGTAGGTGGACAATAGAGTTCTCCAGCCTCTCTATGTCTGTGTTGATGGCAGTCCTTAAGCTACTGCAGTGTTTGCCTTGTGCTTCCAAGCATGATTTCCCAGTCCCTGTATCTGCCAGTCCCAGGCTTAGGAGGGACTAAGTGTGAGAGCTGTTATTAGCTCCCTTCTTGCTTGGGGCTGGTTATCCGCCTAGTCTTTGGTATATTTCTTTGTCTTGATGAGAGATTATTTTTGGAACCAAAATGTACCAGTATGCCAAAGTCTTTAGTCTGATTCAGTACCTGCCTGTGCATATAAGGGGCTAATCTGGAGAAGCATGGCCCCCAACTGTCCTCTTGTGGCAGGAGATACCTGTGGGGAGGTGTCTGGATTGCTTGATTACATAGTGTAAATAACGGGCACAGATCCTAGACAGAGTTCCACTGCTATAACAGACTGTAGGAAGAGTCTAGCGTCTCCTTTCTGTTGCCATTGGCACTGGGTAGGTCGGTCAGACTTGGTATACCAGCCTGTGGCGGTTATCTCCTGGTAGTATGGGGGCTTGGTGTTAAAACATAACCAACAGGAGCAACTGATGTCTGGCCTGGATGCATTGAGAACCAATGTGAGACATCCAATCGGGCTTAGAGCAGGTCTGAACCTGTGGAAGCCCCTTATGGTAGTGAAGTGGTATTGGCTGTATGGGAAGTTCTCATCTTGGGGGTGGGGTTGAAGTGTTGTTTATTTCTAGGGGCAGGGTGGTAACTGGGGCCTCCTGTGATCTCCAAACCAGATTTGGGCCTATCATGAAAGACATGGGCCTAACCACCAGCAGGAGAGTGAAGAGGGCCTCAGGGTCTCTTCCAGCAGAATATAATCTGGGTCCCCATGTTTTTCCTGTTTCCCATCCTTTTGATTGTTTGCCTTTTGGGGTGAATATTATAGTAATAGGGTTTCATTTCCCCTGTGCCTCCTATGTTGTTGATGGGGGCACAAGGGTCCCTGAGCCTGTCCACACTGATTCCCCCCATATGCCAGTGAGTCAGATCCATGGCTCCAGGAGACAGAAGTTAAGTTTGTTGTCATTGGGGCTATTCACTAGATGCTACCCATTGATCCACATCCCTAGATTGTACAAAAATAAGTGTCAGGACCCCTGCATTCATGTCATTGTTGACGTGACAGCCCTGTTCCTGGACATACATATATAAATAGAATCAGTGTAAGCACAGACCATTCCGCAGGGCCGGGTAGTTGCAACTGTATGCCAGGAAGGAGTCTTGATCATGGGGTTCTCAATCTGATAGCACCACAAAGTCACAGAGGTCCAGACGTAGATGGGGGAACCAGGTGTGGGGCCAGGCTAGTGGTTTGGTTGGCTGTCTCTCCTGTGACTCCATTTTAAATTATCCAGGTGAGGTTTAGCCATTGGCGGGCATTATCATGGTGTGGGTGTGCATAGGGTGGGCAGCACCAGCAAAAACAGCATCTTTATTTTACAGGGCCCTGAGCTTAAGTTTGAGGGGTTGTCAGAGTCAGGTTTTGCAGTTCAGTTCTGGTGGGGTCTGGTGTTCTCTGGTAGTAGTCTTAGCAACTCAGTCCACTCCAGATCAGCAGCATGGGCATGGGAGTGGTGGATCCGGGTGACAATCCCGTCAACCTTGATGGCAGCGGAAGTGGTCAGGATCACAGTGTAGGGTTCCTTCTAGTGAGACTTTTGGGTCTTGTGTTGATGTCTACAGATATAGACACAATCTCCTGGTGTGGAGTGGGTGGTGGGGCCTTTTTATACACCTTCTGTAATCTTGGGCAGATGTCCTTGAATACTGACGTCACTGCATTGAGGGAAGTAAGTAGGTTAACGTTATTGAATTCGGTGAGGAGTTCTGATTGCCCGTTGGAGAGTATAGGATGGGTTCAACCAAACATGATCTCAAATGGCATGAGTTTGAGTGTATACAGGGCGTTTAGGACTTGGCACAGGGCAAAAGGAAGGAGAGCCACCCCATCTCTGTAGCAAAAGGAGGCGGTGGGCCGCTTCTCGTTGCTTGGATCCCGGCTAGCTTACACTCAAAATAATTACATGGAAACTGTATTCATTTAAACACTGCCTGGCCCATTGTCTCCAGCCCCTTATTGGCTAATTCTCACATATTAATTAACCTATTTCTAATAATCTGTATATCACCACGAGGTCGTGGCTTACCGGGAAGATTCTAACCTACATCCATCTTGGGCCGGAGCTTCATTGTGTCTCATGGCTAACATAGATAAGAATAATGGGTTAATATAAGCTATAAGAGATAATAAGAAGATTGAGCTAATGGGCCAATCAGTTTATAATCTTATAGAGTCCTCTGTGTGATTTTCTTTGGGGCTTGCTGGCTGTGGGGTCTCAGGAGGGACAGATACCCCAACAAGCAGGCCCCTCCTGTTCTACTTCCTGTCTGGTTTACCTGCCTGTATTTCCTGCCTGGCCAATCAGCGTTTTACTTAAAACATGATTGGCAGAATACAGACAATTCTTCCGTACCACATCTCCATCAGTCTCCATGGATAATTTGGTGATGGCCTCTTTCAGGGTCCTGTTCATTCAATCTACCTGCTCAGAACTCTGATCTGTATGCACAGTGTAATTTCCAATCTGCCCCCAAAGTCTTAGCTATGTTCTGAGTTACCTGGGCAGCAAACACTGGTCCATTGTCTGAGCCTTGCAGAGCAGGTGTTCCATACCTTGGGATGATGTCTTGTAGCAGTTTCTCGACCACCATCTTGTGCTTGGTAGGGAAAGTCTCTACCCATCCTGAAAAGATGTCTATTAAAGCGAGTAGATATGTTTTACCCCAGTGAAGTCAATCTCCCGGTGAGCCCTGGGTGGTGTCCACTAGGCCCCACCCCAGGCTGTCTTCCAGCTGACTTGGTGTTGATCAGCCAACAGGCCAGACACTTGGAGGCAACCTGTTTCACCTTATCTCAGAGACAAGATATCTTGAGATGAGATCACCTAATCACTTATTCAGTATCTTTGGGACCCAGGTGAATAGTTGGGTAGATACGTCCCAGCAAGTTCACTGTCATTTTGGTGGGCAGGATTAGCCTCCCTCCCACTTCCTGTCTGCCACCATACTCCTGGTTTTTGGGGCTGCCAGGTTTTAGGTAGGCTGTGGATGAAGGCCAAATCCTCTGCAAAATATGCTGGTTTATCTGGTAGCCCACAGGTGCCCAAGTCTGGCAGTTTTATAGTTAATATTGAGGTTACTTGTTCTGTGACCACCTTAGTGGCCTTGTCTACCTGCTGATTTTCCTAGGCAAGTGGGGAGTCTTCTTTTTCATGCCCCAGACAGTGAATGGTTGCCAACTTGGAAGGGAGTCACAGAGCCTCCAGTAAGTTAGAATTTTTTGTTTATTTTTGCCAGCCTTTCCCTCTGCTGTCAGAAGTCCCCTTTCTTGCTATGTAGCACTATGTACTTGTGCCGTGGCAAATGCATAGCGGCTGTCTGTGTACACATGGGCAGATGTTCCTGGGGGCAAAGCCTCAACCCAAACATCTTCTCCCTCTGTCACCACCACTGAACCCACATACCTTTCCCCATCCTTGACGAAGTTTCTCCCATCAGTGTACCAGGTGAATTCAGCGTCTAGCATCAGCTGGTCTCTCAGATCAGGCCATGCCTGTGGACTTTGGCTGAGTATCTAAGAGCAGTCATGAGTTGATCCAGATCCAGGTTAAGGATCAGGGTGGCTGGGGTTAGAGCTGCTGGCGAGGTGAAGTACATGCGTGGGGGGTTAAAGAAGAGAGTCTAGTAGTGAGTCTTCCATGCATTGCTCAATCAGCACTCGGTAGGTTGTTTGAGGACCCTTTCTATGGCATGAGGCAAATCACAGTTAGTTCTTGTCCCAGAGTGAATTTGGCTGCATCCTTGACAAGCAAGGCAATGGCCTCTATGATCATGAGGCATGGGGCCATCCAGAGGCAACAGGGTCCAGTCTTTTTCAGAGATAAGCCCTTGATCTTCACCGTGGCCCACGTGTCTGGGTTAGAACTCATTTTTCCACCCCTTTCTTCTTGTCTACATATAGGCAAGAGAGTTTGGTGATGTTTAGGAGTACTAGTGCTGGGACTGACAAAAGGACTCATTTAATCCGGACAAATGTCTGCTCCCATTCATCTGTTAATCAAAGGACCAGCCTTTCCAAGGGGCTTCATACAAGGGCTTGGCCATTTCAGCAAAGCCAGGGATCCAGAGGTGGCAAAAGCCAGTTGACCCCAGTAACTTTTTAACCTGTCTTCAGGTGGTTGGGGCAGGTAGTTTGAATATAGTCTCTGATAGCCCCCGCTGCCCCCGCTTAAGAATATAGCCTAGGTGCATCTCCTCTCCTGGGCAGATCTGTGCCTTTTTGGCTGAGACTCGATACCCAAAGGTTCCCAGAGTCTAAAGCAAGTCCCTGTCTCTACCTTGCAGTTGTCTTCAGTGGCATCCCAATCAGAAGATCATCCACATACTGCAGAAGAGCAATTCTGGGGTGTTCAGTCCTGTAAGCTCCCAGATCCTCATGGAGAGCCTCATCAAATTTGGTGGGTGAGCTTTTGATCCCCTAGAGCAACTGAGTCCAAGTCAGCTGTCCGTTGAATCCTTTTTCAGGATCATGCCATTCAAAGGTAAAGTAGGCCTGACTCTGAGGGGCCAGCGGCAGACTGAAGAAGCACCTGTTAAATCCAGTACACTGTACCATTGTAAGCTAGGTGATAGTGAACTCAGTAGGGTGTACAGGTTTGGCACTGTGGGGTCGATGTCAGTGACCCACTGATTGACATCTCTTAAGTCCTGGACTGGGCAGTAGTCATCAGAGTTTGGCTTTCTGATGGGGAGAAAGGGAGAATGGGTAAACAGGCATGACCAAGAAGGAGTGGGATACCCAACCCAGGCTTAAGTCTACTTGTCTTTGGGTAGTCCATGAGTATTGGTTCATGCCTGTGGCCCCATGTACCCATGCCTTCTTTTTGGTTATAAAGCTCATAGGTTCTGTCAAAACTGAGTGTTATGCCTCCATATCCACCATAAACAGGACAGGTCTCCCCTCCAATTTTAAAGCCATCCCAGGTTTGGAGGGGTCTGGACCCTGCTCCCATTAGTCGCCCTCTCCTCCATCTTCTGTCATTGTCACCTCTGTCTTAGGGCACTTTTCTGCCCAATGGCCTAGTTCTTCACAATAGGCACATTGGTCCCTCTGCAGAGGGGTCTGCCCCCATGGCAGGATGCCACTGTTGCTTCCGTTTCCCCTCTGGATCTGAATTCGTGACTGTCAGGACTACGCAGGGCACGTCACATGCCCACCTGTCCTCTGCAGCTACCATAGCTCGTCTCTATTTTTCATTCTCTGCAGCTCTTATCTTTTCTTGCCTTTTATTCTCCTCCGTTCTCAACCTAGCCTGCCTTTCCTCTGGGGTTTCTCTGTTGTTATATCCCTTAGCTGCTACTTCCTGAAGTTTGGACAATGACTTTCCTGCAAATCCCTCTATTTTCCGCAGCTTCTTTCTAATGTCTGGAGTGGCCTGATGCACAAAGGCTAGAATCACACCTGACTTGTTAACAGTCACCTCGAGATTTATTGGGGGACAGGCTAGGAATGCCTCTATCAGCCTCTCCAAGAAGGCTGCTTGTGATTCCTTTGGTTCCTGTGGTACACTATAAATTTTGGTCAAATTTGTGGGTCACCTTGTGGCAGCCTTGAGGCCCCCATTAGAGTCTGGCGGTATATTTTGAGCTTCTCCCTACCTTGATGTGAATTGAAATCCCATTCAGGTCTGATCAGCGGGAAGCCCTCATTAATGCAGGCTGGGTCAGTAGTGGGGCTGCCATCGGGACCCAGGAGCAATTGCTGGACCTCCACCAGAATCATTCCTTTTTCCTACAATAGCTGTTGGCAGTCATCCCAAGCAGGCTGGTGAGTAAAAAGACAGACTCTAGAAGGTTAATGAGATCCTTTGGGTTGTCTGAGAAGGGAGAGTTCTGTTTTTTCCAGTTATACAAGTCATCTGTAGCAAACGGCCAACACTGATAGGTCTTATTTCCCTGCTCATCCCATGGACCCACTGTCCAGAGGGGTAAGGTGGTAGAGCCTGGCCCACATCCAGGAGCTTCACAGAGAGCATGCACACAGGTGTACGGTGGGCTGGCCATTGCTTCAGCTTCTCCCTGGGGGGCAGGGAGTGCCTGCTGAGGGTCTAAAGAAGAAGATGTAGGATAGGGTGGGGATGAGAGGAGGAGATATTTCTCTGTTCCCCCTTTGAGAACCAGGGGAGCAGAAGGGGCAGACTTCTTGGGCTCCCCATCTTCCTTTAGAGTAAAAGCCTGTGACTCTTTTGGTGGTTGAATCGGGACTATAGGCTTCATCCAGGTGGGAATAATAGTCTATGTCTTCCCACACAGAGATAGGGAATTTGGTTAGGGTGTCCAGGTCTTCCATAGATGATACCCTTGGTTTTTCCTTTGATAGATAAATCCTCCAGGAGCCAGTTAGTGTGAAAAGTGGACGAGTTTAATTCAGATATGTTTCTCAAGCACCCCGACCTTAGCCTGTCCAATTCATCATGATATCCACAGTCCTTGAAATCCTTCAAGTGGTCAAGGGACAGTCTCAGTAGGGTGGGGTGACTGGAGGCTTGGCTCACGATTTCAGGGTGCTCAAACCATCAAAACAAAGGGGTAAACACAACAAGAGACAATACACAGTAGCAAACAAAATAGGTGATCACGCACATATCTGAAAATGAGACACTGTACGGTGGTTTGTGGTTACGATCCACTGAGTCTCTCCAGAGGAACTAGGGGGATTCAGCCCCCCACAAAAGGGTTTCCTAATCCACCAGCAGGGTCCTGGGACATCTCTCAGTCCCCCAGCCCGTGTTCTGCCAGTGTATTCACTTAGATCTTAAGCAGGCTTCACAGAAGGAGCTCCAATAGCCAGAAACAGAAACCAGAGCTTGCCCGTGCCAAAACAGAAAGTTGCCTGTTGGTTGGCACCCCAAGACACAGTGAAGAGTGGTCGTGGTGGACTTGGGGATCCAAGACAAGCCCCCAAATGTTGCACCCAAAGTCCGAACCCCCAAAGACCACCAAGAGACTAAATTCGATGCAAAAGCAAAAAGCCTTTTTATTGTGAGTTTAAACTCAGGTTTCTTGTCCATCCAATGCAGCAGTGCAGTAGAGGAGACCCCGAGCAGCAGTGGGGCAGGGTGTTTACTGGGGGTAGAGCAAGGGGTCTAGGAGCCTGAGAATTGTATAGTACTCAGAATTGGTGCACCTCTGAGCTGGGGGTACATGTCTTAAGTTGATTGGTTAGCTACAGCTGCGGGAAAATTGCTATATCTGGTGATTGTTGTCGTGGTTACTGTTTTCCATCCTTACTAGTAGAGTGGGTCAGGAGCCTGCTAACCTAGCTTCTGACTGATTCTTTACTGTGTGGGGATATCTTGGGGGTTTTTCATTAACTAGGGCAAGGTCAGGGGGCTCATCTTGTCATTCAGCTGAGTCAGGGACTTTTATCTTGCTGAGTCCTTTCTGCAATCTGTCATGGCTGCAGTATTGTCTAAACAAGGGTGTAGGTAAGGGCCTGGGCCCCTCAGTAAGTTTGCTGATTTGGGTGCTTAGAAGCAAGTTCAGGTCCTCTACAGGAGCGGTGCAGGCTCTTAACTTTTGATCTGTCTCTCAAGCACCAGCTCTCCTTACTCTTATCCCATGCCATTTTATACAGGACTTCATCTAACACAAGGCTTTGGCTTAGCTACTTAAACAAAACTTTCTTCCCTGGTGTGCTTGCGTGCTCCCAAGGACTCTTGCTTGTTCCTGCTGCCACTTAGTCAGTCCTGACTCTGGGTGGCATGGTGATTTTGCATTACTGCCCTGCTTTGCGTCTTCTCAGAAAGTCACTGTGATGTACCCCAGTCTTCGCAACTCACTGCTGCTGTCCTAGGCTAGTCCTCACCTCGTTTTGCGGTGTTTCCTGAATGGCTGCCATTAGCCATCTTCTGGACTGTGTCCACCTTTGGTTCTTTCTGTTGAGTGCTTTTTTTTTTTC